GTGCATTCCTCTACCCACGATATGAAGGTTACATACCCACAATAGGCAATAGCACAAAAGCAAACACGAATCAATCTTAGAGGATGGTATACTAGTTTATTTATTTGCGTAAGGAAATAGCTGTCACTAAACGCACTTTCGGTTCGCGAAGTAACTTCATTCAACTGCAAGCATGTAGAGCAATAATTTTGAGGTAGCCAACCAAATCATGGGATACATTATTAAGCTCACAAGTTTAGATATACAAACAGCGACTAGGGTTGCAGCCGGCCACCTTTTCTCTTGGTTGAGTATATTTTTGCTTTATTTCGTAAAGTATGCATACCTGTTCAGATGATGTCTGTTACAGTACAGACGAAAGCTTAGCACAGTTTCATTGGGGTCACAGGACGATGAGCCGAGGACTTCTTCTCACAATACAACAGTCTTCCCTACGCGGTAATTTTCCTTCGGTTACCGATGAGACCACAACACGAAATTCTTCCAAGCAACGTTTCATTCGAAATGGAACGACATGTCACGATTGCCGAATCTGACTCCACAGACCATTAAACTCTTCAAGCAGAGGTGGAGACAATTCTATTTACTTACCTAGATGAGGTGACTTCGAGGTTTATATCAAAGCTGTCCTGTCCAAGTGGGTTCTCTACCATGACGGTGTAGATTCCAGCGTCTTCGGGATGGACATTCAAATTCACCATAAGACCACCATCATCACTGAACTGGAAGCGTTCCTCTTCAATAGCCTCATCGTTCTGCTCGTCTAGTTCTCCCTTCTGTTCTGGGCTGAAAAAAAATTCTGTCTTCTCCAAATCCCCAGAAGTCTGTTTCCAAAATGACCCTGTCTCCTCATCAGTCTCTCTAGCCACGATTTCACTTGCTCGGAGATTAGGCTTAGCAGAAGTGGAAAACAATTGCCTTGTCGATCCAGAATTATCTTCCGTAAAAGCGGTTACTGCCTCAGAAAGTGCTGGACTGAAACGCCAGGAGATGGTAGGTGTGGGCTTGCCGGAGAACGCCACTTTCGTAATCCAAGAGGAGCCAACCGGAATGCGCTGTTGTGCACTGGGCGTCACTATAAAGACGGCCGGCGCTAGATAATATATTGTGTGGAGTGGAATTCAATAGAAAAAAATCACTTTTTCCGTATAAATAGTTCATATTTAAGAAATTCATTTTGACAATGAGCTATGCCATAGCAACAATAAGGGTAAGTATTTAGTATAAAATATAAAATAATCATCATTTACTCAAGACCGGCTTTAACTGAGCTTATAAAACAGATTATGATCACACAATAGAGTTAAAGATTTAAAATAAAAATTATGCATTTGACACTAATTTTAGGTGGTTAATGGTCATTAAATTAACAACTATTAATTAGTTATACAAGGCAGCTTTGTATATGATTTTAAAATGCTTTTAAGAGGGAGCAAGCCAAGCCAAACTGAAATCTGGGATAGTATTACTCTTAATACTTTGCCCTCAGGACTTTCCCATTGACCAATGTTTTGTGAGCAAATGAAGTGAGCCACTCTGAAAGAGCAATAAAGCAATTTTAAGAAGGTACAATGAATATTCTAGTAGGCGTTAGTATGTTAGGACTGAAAGGCAAATGTAAGCACGCAAAAAAGGACGAAATTAAGGGAGTCTGTCATGGAGGTATATCAGCCAAGTCAACAGTGCATCCGTTCCTTTCTTCAGGTCCTCTTTGTGACAAGAAAATTGTATTATCAAGCACCCTCTTAGTTGTCTCATCGGGAAGCTTACAGGCTGGCCTCCAATG